ATTATCATTTGTTTTTTTTTTTTTTTATGATTTTGGTTATGGATGGTAATGAATTGCGAAGAAATGATGAGATTGTAAGTGGTTCTAATGAGTCAAACAAACTACAATTCAACTTTTGGTGTTGGGCAAGACAGTGGTGTTAGGCAAGAAGAGCGTTAGAGAAATTAAGATAAAAAGTGAAGTTTTCCGTTAGGTTTTTAATGGCAAAAATGTCTAGCTATTCTTATTTTAAAACACAGGTCTTTAAGTGTACATTTTGATACCACAAACTTTTAAATGCACTCATCCTAAATTACAGGTAGATTAAGTGTAATTTCTCCGAAAATAAAAATAGTGTATGATTACACTATTATAATTTATTTTAGTATTATTATTCTTTTTGTAAAATTTATAATTTTAATAATAAAAAATATAAAAAAATACACTTAGTTGTCTTTAAATATGTCCTTATCAATTATTTAATTTAAACAATAAAAACTAACTATTGTATATCTAAACAATTATATTAATTAAATTTACTATCTATTATGCATTGCTTGATTTCCACTATCCGTTGCTTGTTTTCCACTATTTATCACCCACTATCTAGCAACTATCACCCATTATCCGTTATCGCTATCCGCTACCCATTATCTATTGAATTTTAATCGTTATACCAAATAAGCTCTAAGATTGTTAAGCTTAGAAACTATACATTGGGATTTGATAAATCCCAGCATTTATTCTTCAAATTCATAAATTTTTATAAGGTTAAGTGTTATATAGTAAAGAGTATACTAAATTACATATCACTGATTATTAAATAAATTTTTTTATTTAATAATTTATATTTTATGATTTAATATAATTTAAATTACAAAGTAAAACAGTAATTTGTCTTGTGCTTCAAATACATTTTATTGATATAATAAAAACAACTGAGTTTTGACTTTTTAACTTTTAAGACATTGACACACGCACACAACTTGAGACCTGACACACATGAAGGCTAGTAAGTTGTGGGAACCAAGATAAGATCATCTCTCCTTCTAACTGTTATTCCGGATGCCTCACTCATGTCTAGATCTTCTCCTTTCATTCCATTTGGTAGTTTCCAATCAAAATGGTAGAGAAGTTTTGCAAGAGGCAACTCAATGTTGGGAACTGCAAATGATATTCCTGGACATACCCTCCTTCCTGCTCCAAATGGGATAAACTCTAAATCTGTTCCCCGAAAATCCAATGAACTATCAAGAAACCTTTCGGGAACAAATCTCTCGGCTTCACTCCAGTACTCAGGATCTCTTGCTATCGCCCATGCATTAATAATGACTTGTGTCTTTTCAGGTATATGGTGTCCCTTGATTTCACATTTTTCCCTACTTTCTCTTGGTAACAATAGAGGGAAAGAAGGGTGCAGCCTAAGTGTTTCTTTGATTACTGTTGTTAAGTATCTTAATTCATGAATGCTTGCTTCATCCACATCTCCTTGTTTGTCAAAGACTCTTCTTACCTCCTTCTGTGCCTTTTCCAACACCTTTCGATTTTTGAGCATTTCTGCCATTGCCCAGTCCACAATTGTTGATGATGTCTCACTGCCACCGCTGAAGATATCCTGAATCATAAAATACCAAAAGTTAATATAGGATAATGATTCTGCCAACTAGATACTATTATATTGTGTTTACCTGTAGATCTTTACAATTTTTCCGGGTAAAATTCTTCTTCAATTTCTTACTAAATATATGACTAAGATATATGAGAAAGAAGCCAACTAACCCAGATAACTGCTTTGATGTCAGTGTCAGTGAGGGGAAACTCAAGGTCTCCATTCTCCTGAAGCTTTAAGAGAGAAGTAACCAGGTCCTCACCTGCTTGTCCTTTTTCTACCTTTATTCCATCTCTGTGCTCATCAAGGATGCCAGTAAGGATCCTATCACTCTCTTGAAGTAGGTTCTCAAGATTGTGCTTCATTCCACTACACACTTGAAGCACTTTGAGAGATGGATACATATCTGCTAAGCTGAAACCAGCTGACAACTCGACAATTGCCTTCACTATCGATATATAAGCATCCTGATCTTTGCATTTACTACCAAAAGCTGCCCTGGATGTTATCCCATATGTCAAGGAAAAGATTTTCTTACTTAGATTGATTGGGGATCCATCGTTTGAAGCTATGGCTTTGACAAGAGCTGACACCTCTTCCTCTCTGATTGATCGAAATGACTGGACTCTTTTTGTAGTCAAGAGTTCTACCGTGCAGATTTTTCTCAACTGTCTCCAATAACTTCCATACGGGGCTAAAGCAATATCCCTGGAATTATAAGTAATGAAGCTGGGAACAATCATATGGGGCCTTTGTGCAAAGATAATACCATTTGTTATCAAGATCTCTCGAGCAATTTCTGGGGAAGAAACCACAATGCTTGAAATTTCTCCAAGCTGGAGGTGCATCAGAGGTCCAT